AGACAATTAACAATAATGAATGTTGATTATAAAATATTAGCTAAAATAATAATGAATAGACTAGAAGATATATTAGATAAAATTATTGTGAGGGAACAGACATGTGCTATAAAAGGTCGCCAGATGTGGGATAATCTGTGCACCCTGAGAGAGGTAATATACTCCAGAAGAGACTCTGACTTTTTTATTCTTGGCTTAGATCAAAAGAATGCATTTGATTATCTTTCTCATTCGTATATATGGGCAGTTATGAAAGCCTATGGGATGCCGGACGGTTTCATCGCCAGGGTAAAATTGTTAATATAAAAAATCCATCATACAAGTCAAGGTAAATGGAAGTTTGACTGAACAATTCCATGCTTCGTGTGGAGTGAAACAGGGATGCCCGCTAAGTGCTGCTTTGTATGTCTTAGCCATCAATCCTTTATTGAAATTAATTAATAAAGACATTAATATTAAAGGATACTGTTTTAATGATGGCTATACAGTGACAGCTATGGCTTATGCCGACGATGTTACAGTTATTATTAGGAACCAGGACGAGTTGGATAGGTTGTTTTTTCACCTCAAACAATATGAATTGGCATCAGGGGCAAAATTAAACCCAGAAAAAACAGAAGGCGTGTGGTTTGGTTCCTCACTACAAAAGCCGAAAATAAACATACAAGTAAATGACGAAACGAAAGTCTTGGGAATTTGGATCAACAAAGGGGACCCCTGTTTGTCAAACTGGTCTAAAAAGGAATGTGAAATTAAAGAAGAAGTAGCTAAATGGGAAAATAAAAATACTAACTATAAAGCGCGAGTAAATATAGTTAAAACCCATATAGTATCTAAACTTCTCTTCCTTGCCACGGTTTTTCCTCCTCCTCACAAATCACTTTTACTTTTAAACAAATTGTGTGTTAAATTAATATGGGGAACAAACCGTGAGGTAACGAAACGAACCTTAATGTATAAAGGCAAAGAGTGTGGTGGATTGGGTGCGCCAGATCTCCGTATCACTTTGAGAATTCCTTTTATTAAAAATGTTTTTAGCGCTCTTAATAGGGGAACTCCGTGGATTAGAGGTAATGAAGCACAATGGGGAAAATTAAAAGGTAGGGCTAGATCCAATATACCGTATTATAAACTCCTTTTTGGCGACAGTGGAAAGACCTTAATATTAACTGGACACAAGTATGCACTAAACAAGTATACAATATAATTAATAGTAAAAATAATGAAGGACAGATAAAATATAAGGGCGTGGGCGTAGAAGAATACCCGCTAGTAGTTAAAAATATCTATGACAAATTAATCTCTGAAAATATGAGAGACACTGTGTGGTTGATTTCTGTTGGACATCTCCCCGTTAGAGCGGTGGTTCAGTGGAGCTGTTATGTTACCACCAAAGAATGTCCTTAGTCACGTTGTGTCGAAGATGAAACACTTGAACATTTACTATTATCCTGTTATAGAACAGTAGAGATCAGACAACAGATGACTAAAATGGGTTTTGAAATTGATAACAACATACAAGCTATAAAATATGGTCTGTTTAAAGAAAAAATGTACGACAGTAAAAGACGCCTCTTTTGTCTTATCATGTGTGTCATTAACACCCACATTTGGAAAACCAGAGCCAAGGTGGTCATTGAGCAAAAAATGATAGATAGCGTTGCTGTGTGCAAAAATATCCTTACAGACCTGAGAAGGAGGAAGACTTTAGAACAAAA